CAACATGATTTGTGAAAGATCATGTGACACTGAAGACTGGAGAAATGATGCTGAAAATTCAGATTTGCATCACAGCAATAAATTACATTTTACAATATATTCAAATGGAAAACAGGTATTTTAAATTGTAATAATATTTCATAAAATTACTGTCTTTACTGTTTTTTAATCAAATAAAAGCTGCCTTGATGAGCTTAAGAGACTCCTTTTAAAATTGTAAAAAATCTTACCGACCTAAACTTTTGAACAGTAGTGGTGTTTACTAAGATAAGAATCACTATTATTATTTGTTATGCAAAATATACATACACAGAGGATGTATTTGATCATTTGTGTAGAAGTTTATCAAAGTTACTCATTTTTTGTTTTAATCTTTGCCTTTTTAGTCAGTGATAGTTGATTTTCTACCAATCCTAATTTTCGGACTATTATATACCTTGAGTATTTATCTATAAATGTATGTGAAATGACTAATGGGGCAAATGTATTCACTACATCGTCAAACCCTAGACTGAAGCAACTGGTGTTTTGTCAGAAAACTTTATATATTTATGCAAGGAACTACTTGATTTCTTTACACTGATGCTAACTCATTGATAATTGTCTTAAGTCGCTGGGGTATATTTGTAGCAATAGCCAAAAATACATTGTATGGGTCAAAATTATCCATTTTTCTCAATATAGCGTGATGTACAGTTCTGATTGTGATGAATACCTGTTTTTCCAGTGTCTTTGAAGGTGAACTGTCAGAAACAATGCCCGTCGTTCATGCCTCTATAGCAGGATGTCGAATCATTGGCAGAATGTGTGTGGGTGAGAAAATATATCCAATCCAATTTATTTTACAAATTTGTGATCGATTGACATCATTTTTGTTTCTTGTATGCTGATTGAAATACAGGTCATCGTAAATAATGTAACAAGACCTTTAATGTGATGAAACTGAGTCGGGTCAGAGTAGGTCTTGGTACGTTTTTATGTCCTCTTATACGTGATGTATAATAGATGTTGTGTGTCTGTCTTGGGATGCTCTTCTTCTGCAGGAAATCGTCACGGTCTCTTAGTGCCGAACAACACGACAGATCAAGAGTTACAGCACATTAGGAACTGCCTGCCAGATTCAGTGCGGATTCAGAGAGTAGAAGAGCGTCTTTCTGCGCTGGGGAACGTCATCGCTTGTAATGACTATGTTGCTCTAGTTCATCCTGATCTTGACAGAGTAAGAACATCCCTAATGGAAGACTCTTTGAAATGAGTTTGCTTTCTCCAAACCTTAAATGGGCTTTAATGGGAATTATTGTCCACAGGAAACAGAAGAGATTCTTGCAGACACTCTCAAGGTGGAAGTGTTCAGACAGACGATTGCGGAGCAGGTGCTTGTGGGTAGTTACTGTGCCTTCAGTAACCAGGGAGGCCTCATTGTGTTCTGATTGTTTTCTCTGTGAAGGCTGGAACGGTGAATCGTGGGAGTGAGGTGATCGCTGCTGGTATGGTGGTGAACGACTGGTGTGCCTTCTGTGGGCTGGACACCACGAGCACTGAGCTGTCCGTCATCGAGAGCGTCTTCAGATTGAGTGAAACGCAGCCCAGCGCCATCGCAACTACCATGAGAGACTCGCTCATCGACAGGTATGTGATGACAACTCAAGTCTGGAGAAATACATATAGTTTATCCAATTAAAAATGTTCTGATTATTATTTCAAATCCAACTAAACTTCATTATTTCTTCTTTTAACAACAGTTTTGGCTAAAAAACGTGAGCTTCTAGATATTTGGCATCACAATGGACTGCAGAAGCTACATAAGACCCATCAATGTGTAAACAGCAGCTAGTTTTCGAAGCGCAACACTATGATTGTGGAGATCTGCAGTGGTAACAGCACATAAGTCATCTTAAATAAAGTTTTTAGGTGGTGATATGTAGACTGTCTAAATAAAACCACTTTATATTTTTGGTGCACAAAGATCTGTCAATTATAATCTTTCATGAATTTGTACATTTAAACAAGATTTCTTATTGTATCGTCACGTTTGATAAAAACAAAAACATTTCTTTGCTTTAAAAACCCATTTTAAAACATAATTTTCAGCACAAATGCGACGTCCCTGCAACCTGCACAAGAAGACGAGACTCTTTCCAGACACCTGCTCAACATTCATCTCTGTAAATACGTACGGTTAACATTCAGTCGTCTGATTACTGACTTTACAGACATCACCAATTTATATATCAGTTCTGATATAATACTCAATGCAGCAATATGTTCAAACCACAAAGATCAATCACATTCATCACATGAACTGGTCACTCGAAATCATGTTGATAAATAAACAGATGGAGGGAAGAAATATGTGTGTTTGTGAAGTTATAAAAAAAAAAGGGGGGGAAGGGAAGCACTGGCAGCGATACACGGCAGCGAAGTTAACCTGATGAACTTCAGGAAGAGGTTTAAGGTTGGCTGTGAAGTGCTCAGGTCAAGAGCATTGTGTTCAGTTAGTTCTGCTCTTCTTTTAGATCAAACCTGACAGAGAAAGAAAACCAATTTAAGGAACAGTTCATCCACAAATAAAAATTCCGTCATTGAAGTTAAACAGATATCAGAACAAAATAAATCAATAATTCCATGGGAAAATATTTGTATGTTACCAAAACTAACCATTCTGTGACTCCAGAGATTAAGTCAACATGTCCCAGGTCTATCTGCACCTACAAGAATAAATCAACAATACATTAACACACTAAAATAGTTAAAATGATAATTAAATATGATTATTAAATGAAATAAATATTATTAATATAACTTATTGGGAAAAAAATTATATATTTTTAAATTATATTTATAATAAAATTATATTATAAACATTCAAATATTTATAAAATGTAACACAAATAAAATTAATTTATATATAATTTTATTTTTAAATAAAAATTAAATAATAAAATTAAATATGAACATTAAAATATTTATTCATGAAATTGAATACAAATAAAATTATATAGTTAATTGTATATAATTTTATTCTTAATACATTTACATAAATGAAATTCAATAAAAATCTGTTATTTGTTCATGGCACAAAGTCATAGGACAATTTTTTTTGTCTCGCTTTACAGTAAAAATATCTAAAGAAATATATTTTTAAAAAATCATGTGCACTTTAAATTTCGTTAGAATTTTATTTAAGACAAAGAATACAAAAAAGTAACTCATAATTCAAGATAAATTCTCTGAAAACAATTATTATCTTACACAATTTTGTGCACATACGAGTGTTAGAATGTCTAGATATTTTAAATGGACAAGGAGGAAAAAAAAAACCACTGTTTTTTTATGTTTATTTTTTTCTGTAGAGCTGAAGTGAGCCCAGGCGGACTGACCTGGCCGATCAAGTCTTTGTCTCGATTCATGAAGGACGAGGATGCGTTTTTCACAGAAACGCTGAGCTCTCGTCTCTGAGCGTCCTCCACACTCATATCAAACTCAAACCTACAGAACAACATTCCAGTTTATGACACACTCACTGAGTCAAGGTCTGATAAAACCCATTTAAAACCACTTCACATCTAAGACAGAAACTGCAAACACATTTCAGATCATAAAATCAAAAGACAGATTTACACAACGCAATGTTTGAAAATGAATTAAACACACCCTTATCTTTATAGTATTCCGATATGTTACTAAATAATTATATTAACACATCATTGTGTTTAGATGGTGCTCCAACGCAAAAGTAAGGTAATTTACCATAGTACGTAGTTCACAGAACTGATAAGACTTCACTTGAATCGCCCTTATTCATGAACGACACACACACACACACGTCTCCAAACCTTTCAGTGAACTCTGGGTTCAGATTTTTCTTCTTCACACTTGTTTTTCTTTTCGTGGCCTTGCTTTTATCCGGCAGCAGAATGAGGGAGACGTAGGTGTCTAAGCTGTCCTTAGATGATGTAACCAGACCCCTGAAAACACACAAACACAGAACGCCCTCACTCACTTCACCTCAAACTTCAGACTTACATAGGCAACTTCTGAACTTGAAATGAGTCAAAAGGGTTTCTAATCACACCAGACCTGCATGCATGGATGATTACTGTCAACTTCTTCTGGAAGGAAAGGGAGATTTTGATCTGACCAGTGGTGGCCGTCTGCATATTACTCAACACAGGAGCTGAACCCATGGCTATTAAGGCGGCCATTTTTGAATCCAAGATCTGGATAAAACAGAAAAAGTAGTTAAACAAAACATCTTGTGCTCAAAAATGATCAAAATGAGTGAAGATAGCTCAAGTTGTCTCACTTTCAGCTGTGCCCCGAGTAGGATCTGGCTCTTTGGTGAAGCTCCATCCAGATCGAGCCACTGGTCCATCAGTAGATCTGGTTTTGAAAGCAGCTCTCTGATTGGAAGAACCAAAGAGCCCATAGGTTGGTCCCAGGCACTTGAGATCTGCTCAGAATGACAATAACTCAAATGAGAGTCTGAAATAATCATAATTTAAGACGCGAAGCATAACGCAGAAACCCTTCTATTTTAAACACAAATACTGGTTGTATTCTCGTGCTGCCACAAGGGGCGCAATAGAGGCATTAGTGTAAACTCTTCTTCTACAATCAGTTTCTCTTTCAGGTCAACTACTGTCATGCGGAGCGAGTTAGTTTAGGTTTGTTGATGTATTTTTAGCAAGTTAAGTGTGTACTTAACTTGAAGGACACTAAGGCCCTGCACTGTGTATACAATAATGACAATTTTAAGTAAAGCCCGATCGATATATCGTTTTGCTGATATTATCGGCCGATATGAGCCTGTCGCCGATATATCGGTATCGGCGAATATGCCGCCGATATGAAATTTTTTTTACAGAACATATAACGCAGATAAAATGCTTGAAATGGTCCAAACTTTTGACTGGCACTGTACTATAATATACACAAAAAATATCGGCCGATATGTCGATATCGGCCTTTTTTTACTCCCTAATATTGGTATCGGCCCCAAAAAACCCATATCGGTCGGGCTCTAATTTTAAGTATATATTGTCATATATTGCAGCTGCTGAATATTAGTTTATTATTCATTGCATCATTTTGTTGCATCTAATCTTCACAAAATTATATTAACTGCATTTCAGGCTAAAATATCCTCACCTTAATGACAAGCATGTCCTTTTTGGGGTCGTGAACCAGAAAGTCAAATGCTTCATTCCAGTTAGGAGAAGTTGATCGATCACACACCTTTTCATGAGAGAGCACAGAAAAAGGAAATTAAATATATTACAAATGAATTAAAATAAATGCCACATAACTTTTTATAGTACTGCATGATTGCTATTATAGAGCAAATTCTCCTGCCTTGGTTTTGTACGATGTTGCTCCAAGTACAAGTTCAGCAGCAGCTTTGGGTTCCTTTCCACTTTTCTTCAACTAGATGCCAAGACAACCATCAAGAGTTATTAACAGGATCTTTTTATTAACAGAACTTTCATTACATTTACAGTCATTTAAATACTTTATAGAGATTGCTTTAATAAAGACAATTTCTAGTAAATATACATACAGTGATACTCATAATTAATAGAAATACATACATACATATATGCATATATGCAGTGTATAGAAGTATATAGACTCACAGGCAGATCATGAGCTCTTTCTAAATAAATAAACAGCAACGCTGCTGACGGCACAGACTTGTTCTGGTAGGTCTGAGAGCTTTGCATCTGCATTACCTAGTAAAAAAGACAACTTTTAGCACTGAGTCAATTTGATATAAAACAAATAATCAACAGACTCTGTGTGTCTTCATGAAAAACTGACTTGATCCAATCTATCCCGCTGTGTTGAGGTGGGAAGCCATTCCAGGACCAAATGGACTCGACCGTGTTTTATATCATTCAAAGTAAACCACTGGAAAAGAAAAGGCAGCAGGAAATGATTAATGTGCTCACTGTGTTGTGATCTTACAAATCAGAGCCAAATGTGTTGATACTCACTTCATCATCATACTGGGTACTGATGATATGTCCAAGTTTGAGCTTGAACCTGAACACACACGAAGACAAAGTAAAATGTCATTTATTTAATGAATATATTATCTGAAATAAAGTGTTTTTTATGTTTAGAGTAAATTTCATGAAAATGTATCTGGGGCATATTTCACCCCAAAATCAACAGCAAAAATAGATTGACTTTTTTTTTTTTTACATATTACAGAAACATATTTCACCCCAAAATCAACAGCAAAAATAGTTTGACTTTTTTTTTTTTTTTACATATTACAGAAAATGGTGTACTGTAGTAGGCAGGCCTACAATGTTTTTTCTTTTTTTAAATCATAAACATAAATTCAAAAACAATACTACCATGATACATATGAAATGGAGGGGGAATGTGCCTAGTTGTCCCAAAAAATTATGTAATAATGCAAAAAAAAAATCTGGTTTCTTAACCCTTTAGGCGCCAGGGATTTTTGGAAAAATGCTGGATTTTGACATCAAGATTTCAAAAGCTTGTGGCTTGAAAGGGCTTAAAGATAGAGATCTACTGTAAATTAGAAAAATGTTGGGCATGACCAGAAAGTTTATGTGGGGTGTAAATATACTCGTCTAATTTGCATATTATGACGTCATCAGGGGGCGGCCATCTTGAATTTCATAATATTCAGGAAATAGTAGATATTGAATTGATGTTTGAACTTATTTGCATGTTTTTTTGTTGTCTTTTTATCCTCATTCCAAATGATCAGAAAAGAGGAAACCAACAATAAAACGGGAAAATACTAAATTATTTCTATATTACTATACTATATAGTAGTATAACGCATGTGAACAGTAGCCTACTTTTTGATCAGTTCATCAGTAATATTCAGGAAATAATAGATATTGAATGGATGTTTGAACTGATTTGCATGTTTTTTTTGTTTTTTGTCTTTTTATCCTCATTCCAAATGATCAGAAAAGAGGAGCGACTTTGGCACTTAGAGGGTTAAGACTTAATGAGTAATAGTGGTTGTAAATGTACTAACCTTCCAAGGAAATCATCAGATTCAAAATCCTTATCATAGACCTCAAACTTCACATCTAGATTATTATCAGGACTCAGAACCATCTAGTAAATAAAAATGGGAAACATAACTATTAATCTCTTATGAAGTAATTTCTGTGACACCTTGATTTTTCCAAACTACATTTCCCAGCATTCCCACCTCATACATCTCGTTCCAGGTGGGGTTGAGGTTCTCCTTGATCACATGACTTTTAAAGGTTGTGTCTCTGATATGAATCTTGACATAGGGGTCGCTCTTGCCCTTCACCATCCCACCCATCATGTTGTCCTTCGCTACCAGATCCTGAGCTTCCAAAAGATGGATACGCAGCACCCCCTATGGGACAGATATTAAACAATAATAACATTAGAAGATCACAGAACCTAAACAAAAAGATAACACTCACCTTGGTGCCAAAGCTGGGGCCATGGCTAGTCTTTTGGGGTCGTACGTCTGTAGAGCTAGAGACTTTTGACTCCTCTGCAGGGACACTGGGAGAAACCTTCTTGCGAGACCTGTTTAGCATGAACAAACACACATAAATCAATCTGTATATGATGGCCCGGCATTATTATGATTTTCAATAATATATTACTTTGTTAATTCAAGCTAAATCAGGATTAACAAAACCATCTAAAATCTTTAACTCACTGCTCTTCTGCTTTTTCCATGTGTTTTTGCTCTTCGTGGGCTGATCTAAATGTTTTGACTGGTTCCATACATCCACCCTCACTGGTAGTGGAATCAGGAACATTGCTGAGATCCTGCAAATGATAAGCAACAATCAGAATTATTATAGTTATTAAAGTAAACCTTTACGTTTGTCAAAATATGTGTTAATCAAAACAGAATAAAAAAAATAAATAAATAAATTGAACTTAATTTATGGTCCGTGTACTTTTGTGCCCATTCGTTTTTTTAACCATTACGAAAAAATGAAAAAAGAACGGTTGTTGTATTTTTAAACGCTATGTTGAAAACCAAAACTGAAAGTAGAACCGTACACACAAAATGCTGCTCGAAAAAGTAAAGTTTTTTTGTTCATGAATTTTTGCACCTTTAATAAACATTTTCAAAAAGCGTCTGTATAGAGACTGTATAGAAATTAAATGTAGCATTTATATACATAAAAAAACAAGCTTTTTAACGGTTTTTAATGAAATACGAATTTTGAATAATGAAAATTAGTTTGTGTCAGAGCCTAATGGCTGCTCAAAGGCACTTGAAAGCTACGGTGAAACGAGAGAAAAAGATGAACAAGGGAACAAGGATATATATAAGGGTTTTTGATGCACAATGTGTCCATGGACTATACCAATACTGAAAAATCAAGTTAAAATTTATATTAATATACATGGGAAAGTGTAAACTTTAGGTCCTGTAACTAATCGCCTTTTTCTAAATGGTCCAGCAGTGTGACAAATAATATGATATATTTCTAATTATTTAATAATATCATTATAAACAATACAAATAATTAGATAATAATATATTAAAAGTACAAATATTTCATATAGTCTCTGAATATGTGGCATACATAAATTATATTTATTTAAATAATAATAATAATAATAAAAAGTATTATCATTAGTAGTAGAAGTAGTGTTATATATTACTATAATTATTATTTTTATTTAAAATATATTATTTTAATTATTAATTTAAATGTAAATAAATTATAATAACTTAAAATGTATTACAAATTTAATATTCATCATTCACCATCATCATAGTTATCATTATCATGATTTATTATTATTATTACTAGTAGTAGTATTGTTATATATTAAATTTAAATAAATTATATTATAATAAATTAAAATGTATTTTAAATCATATATATATATACATATATATATAACTTTTATTATACATAATTAATTATCTCATTATTAGTATTATTTTACTATATTATACATATTATAAATGGTCAATGTAATGCATAATAAAAGCAGCAAGCATAATAATTCCATCTATTTTACCTTTATAATAAGAATTTCCTCTGTAGGGTTGTGAATGAGGAAGTGAAAAGCTTCACTCCACTCGGGAGACGTGGAGCGGTCACACACCTTTAAACAGACCAGCAAAGAAGTTGCTTATATTAAGGGTCAGAAACTGACACAAAACTTAATCTTTACAAAAGGGCACAAATTCCCACCATGGTTTTATGAGAAATGTCGCCCAACACCAGCTCTGCAGCAGCTTTAGGCTCCTTTCCACTCTTCTTCAGCTGCACACATGACACAGTATTAGGACAATTCCGTCCAATATAGTGTAACTGTATTTGTGTGTGATGATGCTTGTAAGACGTACCGGCAGGTCATGAGCTCTCTCCAAGAGGATGAAGAACAGAGCAGCTGACGGCACAGATTTGTTCTGGTACGAATGCTCTGACTGTAACTGCAGAGCCTGACATAAAGAAAACAAGAAAAGAAATTCGAACACCAAATTAAACCGTATAAAATACATTCACATTAAACATACTAAGAAATGAATAATTAATGCATTAAAACAATATTTAATTTTAAAATAATGACATCAAATGTAACAATTTATCCTGATCTAACACTCAAAATGAGTAATTACATTTATTAATCATTAATGCAAAATGACTCTTTAAATGTATTCATTATTTTTACTGAAAGGTAAACTAATCTTGACCCTGTGTATACATACATCACAAGTCTCACTTGACAAGTAAAATTAAAAAGCAAACTCCAAAAATAGCAAATTAAATTATATAAATATGTAATATATATTCAAAATATGTCATAAATGTTAAGTTAATATTTTTAAATTAAATAATTTTATATTAAAATTAAACCATCAAATATAACACTTTACTCTGATCATACAAAATTAGTCATTACATTTATTATTTTTCATTTCATTCATTATTTTTACTGAAATATTAGAGAATCACTTAAAATTTCAGGAGGTACTTGAAATAAATCCATTAAATAAAAAAATGTCTAGATGGATCGCATACAGATCAAACTACTTTTACAACTCAAAAAACATAAGTCTGCATAACATAACATAACATAACATAACATAACAGATTTAATGATGACCTTTTGTAGTCTGTCAGGTTGTGTGACTGTAGGCAGCCATTCCAGAATCATATGAACCCGGCCATGTTTGACGTCACTCAGAGAAAACCACTGACACAGAGAAAGAAAACACAATGAAATTTGCAAAACTAAAAATTATTAATCATTACATAAAAACATTATCTACTCAGAAATGAATAATCAAAAAACAGTAATACCACTAAATTGCTAATATGACACTTTGTCACGTTACCAGTAAACTTATTAGCAATCCTCTGTAAATGCCAATTTAATTCAATCAATCTCTAAATTACTCAAAATAAATACATGAAAGAGAATGAGGAAAGATATCAGTGATGAATCACTCACTTTGTCAGTCAGCTGGGACTGAATGATCTCCTGTAAGCTGATTTTTATCCTGTGGCCAAGCAAAATTAATATAAAAATATGCATTACATGACATGGACGAGTAATAAATGCTTTAAATTAGCTTTTATATTTATATTTCCATTTTTTATGTTAATTTTTAATTACATCTTTTGATTTTAGTTTGCATTTTCATTGCTTATACTGTATATACTTTATTATAATTTTTTTAATATACACAGTACACACATACACACACACACACACATTATGTAAACAAAAACTTTAATTTGGATGAATCGTTTGACAGCACTAAATATATATACTGTATATATATATATATATATATAAAATTATTTTATAATTTTAGTTTTAAAGTCATTTTAGCATTTCAACTAAACAAGGCAGCATTTCTAATTTTTGTTTACATTTTTCATCTAATATTTATATTTTATTTCAATTAACGCACAGTTTTTTTTTAAATAGCTTTAGTTTTAGTTAGCAATAAAAGCACGGCCACATACCTCCCTAAAAGGTCGTCTTTGTCCACATCCTTGTCGAAAACCTCCACAAGGACATCAGAGGTTGACCTGGAGGTCATAACCTGCTGGAAAAAGCATTGATCACAGGATATTATTTTGAAAACCATGTTTAATATCAACTAAAACAACATCTGAGGACCTAAACGCACCTCATACATCTCGTTCCAGGTGGGGTTGAGGTTCTCCTTGATCACATGACTCTTAAAGACTGTGTCTCCGATATGTATCTTGACATACGGGTCGCTCTTCCCCTTCACCATCCTACCCATCATGTTGTCCTTTGCAACCAGATCTTCAGCTTCCAGCAGGTGGAGGCGGAGCACGCCCTAAAAAACATAAGGTCACCCCATTATGTTGGTATGTTTGCTTTTATAAGCCATATCAACAGTCCACCATCCATCTTAACATTTCTCACCTCAGCACCAAAGCTGGGGTCAGGGATGGTGTGCAAGGGACGAAGGTCATCTGAACTAGAAACTTCTGGGTCCTCTGTGACCTCTGGGACTTCTTCCTCTTCTGGGACTGACACAGAGGAAGTCCTGCTGACAGGAGATGGTGGGACCTCCTCAAAGCTAGACCTAAGACCCCCCAAACAAACAGACACACACGTCAAAGTCAAAGAAAGTGTATTTCTTTAAGTCTTTTCGCTTTACGTGGCCAAAGAACTTACATAACATGCAACAACCACTGCTCCGGGTGTGTGTTCACGGTGTGTGTGTGTTCACTGCTGTGTGTGTGCACTTTGGATGGGATAAATGCAGAGCACTAATTCCGAGTATGGGTCACCATACTTGGCCACATGTCATGTCACGTCACAATATGAACAGAAAACATTGTTCCTCTTAAACATCAATCAATAAATATCCATAAATACACTTAACAGTCAACTATAATCAATAAACAAACACTTACTTAAATACATCTGTTTATGATAAAATTATTACTAATTATTTCTATTGTTATTAACTAGTTGATGGATTTCATCATGCTGGTTTTATAAAGAGAAGAGATTTTTAAATTTGAAGAGAAATTACGAGCGAAATATCAGTTGGTAGTTCTGCAGATCTATCGTAAATAGGAACTTCAGTTTAAAGGGATAGTTCACCCAAAAATGAAAATGTGATGTTTATCTGCTTACCCCCAGGGCATCCAAGACAGAGGTGACTTTGTTTCTGCAGATAAACCTCAAATTTTCATTTTTGGGTGAACTATCCCTTTAAGGCACTGCGACACATGAATATTCTCCTCCTCTCACATCTGCACTAATTCCTCCTCCTGTTTTCTTCTAATGCTGCACACTTCAGGACGTTTAGGTTCCTCATGGTCTTCAGAGCTCTCTGTCTCTTTAGAGCAAAGAATCTACAACATAAAGAAAACATCACATCAATACCAAATACTTTAATGGGACAGTTCAAGCAGACAGGACAATTCTGCCATCATATACCACTGAATGAACCAGATTCTTTTCTTCTTGAAACTTTTACATGATATTCTGCAGAATGTATAGGCTACTCTTTCATTCTACAATTCAAAAGTTTGGGGTCAGATAGAATATTATTTTGTTTGGAAACCAGACTTGAAAAGACCAAGTAAAGACAATTTAATGAATAATTTGAAGGTATAATATAAATGAATAATTAGAATTTTTAAATCAAGATGCATTTACTTAAGCAAAATGACATGAGAAAAGAAGTATTTTTTTCATTAAACTGCTCAAAATGAATGAGTTTTTGAATAAAACAGGAACACATATGTGACCCTGGAGCACAAAAGCAGTCTTAAGTCGCTGGGGTATATTTGTAGCAATAGCCAAAAATACATTGTATGGGTCAAAATGATAGATTTTTCTTTTATGCCAAAAATCATTAGGATATTAAGTAAAGATCATGTTCCATGAAGATATTTTGTAAATTTCGTACTGTAAATATATTAAAACTTAATTTTTGATTAGTAATATGCATTGCTAAGAACGTCATTTGGACAACTTTAAAGGCAATTTTCTCAATATTTAGATTTTTTTGCACCCTCAGATTCCAGATTTTCAAATAGTTGTATCTCGGCCAAATATTGTCCTGTCCTAACAAACCATACATTAATGGAAAGCTTATTTATTCAGTGTATATGTATAATCTCAATTTCGAAAAATTGACCCTTATGACTGGTTTTGTGGTCCAGGGTCACATATCTGCCAATGTGCTCAGAAAATCAACTTGATTCAAACGGAAAAGTAATTTTCATACCCTACTGACAGATATTCGTTTTTGTTTTAAGCATTTAGTTCAATTTATCAGAAAACAAGAATTCATTTCTTAATTTTGCCTCTCAAAAGTAAATGTGTCTTGATTCAAGGATGTTTAGATATTTGTAAAGGAATTCAAAAATACAGAGGAAGATATTCATTTTTTGCAGTGCATGCAAGATTTAATGCCATGACTTTATGAATTTAAGAGTTTCAGCTCTGATTTAAGACCATCCATTTAATAAAAATGCTGTTCCTTTGAAATTTCTATTCATCCAAAAATTATGAAAATAAATGCACCATGGTTTCCACAAAAAATATTAAGCGCCAATGAAGAGTAATGAGTAATAGTAATGGCTGCTGATAATTCAGCTTTGCATCACAGGAATAAATAACATTTTAAAATCTATTAAAATAGAAAACAGTTATTTTGAATTGTAATAATATTTCACAATTTTTCTGTGTTTACTGTATTTTTTTATCAAATAAATGCAGCCTGGGTTCTTTCAAAAACATTTAAAATAATAGAATATGTCTGTGTGTGTGTTCTACCTTCAGCTGAGCTCTGAGCAGAATCTGACTCTGGGGTGACGCTCCATCCAGATCGAGCCACTGGTCCAGCATCAGATCTGGCTCAGAGAGAAGCTCTTTGACGAGAATCACCACAGATCCCAGAGAGAAGTCCCAGTTGTGGGTCAACTGCAGAGACAAAGTGAGGTAGAAAGGTTCAAGTCAGGTGGGAGGGTGCGTTGCAAGCCAAACACTACAGTTGTATAACAAAAATGTGCTGTTTGCATTCTCTGACCTTCACAACAAGGTCTTCGTTCAATGGATCTTGAACCAGGAAGTGGAATGCCTCGTCCCACCGGGGAGAGCTGGTGCGATCGCATACCTTCATCACACCGTATCAAGTAAAAGAAAAAAAATAATGAATTGTAGCCACACATCATTAATGAATTAATTCAACAGTATTTGTGCAAAAACAGTTTCTCACCGTGGTTCTATGAGAAGTTCTTCTCAAAATCAGCTCAGCTCCAACTTTAGGCTCCTTTCCACTCTTCTTCAACTAAACACAGAAACAATAAGCCTTATGAGAACATCTCAGACAGCAAATGTGACCCTGGACCACAAAAGCAGTCTTAAGTCGCTGGGGTATATTTGTAGCAATAGCCAAAAATATATTGTATGGGTCAAAATTATTGATTTTTCTTGTATGGCAAAATCATTAGGATATTAAGTAAAGATCATGTTCCATGAAGATATTTTGTAAATTTCCTACCGTAAATATATCAAAACTTAATTTTTGATTAGCAATATGCATTGCTAAGAACTTCATTTGGACAACTTTAAAGGCGATTTTCTCAATATTTTGATTTTTTTGCACCCTCAGATTCCAGATTTTCAAATAGTTGTATCTCGGCCAAATATTGTCCTGTCCTAACAAACCATACATCAATGAAGCTTATTTATTCAGCTTTCAGATGATGTATAAATCTCAATTTCGAAAAATTGACCCTTATGACTGGTTTTGTGGTCCAGGGTCACAAATATGGGTAAATGTTTCAGACTTCTGAATGCGCACTGTTTCTTGACAAATACTAGCACAGTTACACTTTAGAGGAGATACATGCAAAATTACGAAAGTCGTCTTCTCAGAAGAAAAATCAAACAGGAGGATCCCAGTCTCCTTTTCTTCTAAACAACAGAGATATTAAGATATTAAAGAGATGTCATTTGTGTCATACTCACAGGAAGCTCATGCGCGCGCTCCACATACACAAACAAGAGAGCGGCAGTCGGCACGGTCTTATTCAGGTATGAGCTCTTTGACTGGTACTGCAACACCTGACGAATAAATCGCCCAGTTAACCAGTTAGTTTGATCAATGCATTGTCAACACAGATTGGTTTTGCTCACCTGCTGTAGTTTCTCTGGCTGTGTTACAGCGGGCAGCCATTCCAGAGCGAGATGAACACGGCCACGCTTAACGTCGCTCAGAGTAAACCACTGACACACAAACACAAGAGCACACATGTATCAGTATATTCATACAGCTTATTTTTTAGACTTATTACAACTGATGCGCATATACTCACTTCATTAATGTATTGAGAGCTGATTATGTCACTCAGATTCATCTTCAGCCTAAAAGAAAAACAATATATGCCTAAATAATGCTAAAACAAAACAATGCTTAGAGTTCTTATGGATTATATTGACAGCAGTCTTCATACCTGCCCATAAAGTCATCTTTCATGTCCATGTCCTTATCAAAAACTTCCAGTGTCAACTCTTGACCAGGAAGCTGCGTCAAAACCACCTTAAAAATAATAATGGGAAATAAAAAAAGTTACAAATACGCTGTCATGCTGTCAAACAATCATTTGGTAAAGATTCTGCAGCTTAAATAAGGAAAAAAGTCCAACAGATAAATGTTTTGAACACTTGCGTAACGCATAATTTACAGTACCTACTGTATACGGACTGATATTTTTATAAAAAAAATAGCATGTAAACAGTATGCAATTATTGACATAAAACAGTTATTTTTATTATAAGTTAATTTTTTATATTATATATTTTTATATATATATTTATTTATTTTTATATTTTGTTAGATAGCTATACACTATTGTAGTGTTTATAACTTATTTTAGCATTATTTTCATTTAATAAGGAAAAAGTCCCACAAATAAATGTTTTGAACACCTGCATAGGGCTTAATTTGCAGTATGCTATATACAGACTACTATTTTTTTTTTTTAATCTTTTTTTTATTATTATTTTAAGAATCGTATGTAAACAGTACATATCCGCTGACATGCAACAGTTATTTTTATAGTTAATTATAAACTACTTTAGTATTATTTTTAATTACATCTTTATGCTTGTAAAGCCTTTTGAATTGCATTGTGAACAGCATGCAACATGCAAAAATACACATTTTAAACACTGTTGCATGACCATATTACATTTTTAAAACAAATAAATATAAATATATAAAATATATTATGTACATTTCATTTAATATGTCATATCCAGTTATGTTTGGAAATAAATATGGTTATTTTATATTAAGAATTCAAGTTTTTAAGAAAATTACTTTAGCAGTCTAATAAAAAAAATAACATTAGTTAAAATTGTGGTTTAAATCAATTTCAGTTTCATTTGTCCTTCTGGAAATGAAAGGTCAAGTCGAGCGCAATGCATCATGGGATAAAGTATTCCATGCAATCTGCTCTAATTGTATACAGCACATTTTAAGCAAAAGCCTACATGCCTAATAAAAATGTAGAATATACATACTACAAACTGCATAAATTGCATGAGTAGTACCGTAGCATACCATTCCCGACATAGTGTCTAGAGTTGATTTCTAAATGTGTTTCCCAGCATTCCCACCTCATACATCTCGTTCCAGGTGGGGTTGAGGTTCTCCTTGATCACTTGACTCTTAAAGGTTTCACCTCCAATTTGGATCTTGACATACGGGTCGCTCTTGCCCTTCACCATCCCACCCATCATGTTGTCCTTCGCCACCAGATTTTGACCCTCCACAAGGTGGATACGCAGCATCCCCTACAGGAACAAAGAGCAGATGATTTTAGAGGTTGGTTATGATCGATTGGACCATTAAAGGATGCTGATTTCAGAACATATCGTACTCGTATGGCTAATGCGATACATTATTAATAGTATAGAGATATTGACAGTGCTGACTCATGGACACCTCAGTGGCGAAGCTGGAATGGGGCGTCGTCTTCTGTGGACGTGATGCAGAACTCTTTGAAAGAGGGTCACTGGAGAGGAGAGAGGAAGTTACGGCGGCTTCATCCAACCAGAGCACCTGCAGGAAATGACATCAACAAAGAATGAGACTCTTTTTCCAAATATAATGCATTTGAAATCTGTATAACATCATCAACTCCTGTTTAAAGGTTTGGGATGAGTACGATTTTTGTTTTTTTGAAATAAATGAATACTTTTATACAGCAAAGATGCATTAAATTGATCTAAAGTGACAGGAAAGACATGCGTAATGTTACAAAGGATCTCTTATTTCAAATAAATGCTGTTCTTTTGAACTTTCTATTCATCAAAAAAATCATAATTTTGGTTTCCACAAAAATAGCAGCACACATTGATAATAATAAGAAAATAATATTTATTGTGTATTGTGTGTCAGATGAATTTACCCTGAGCACTGTGTTGATGTGGATGCGGCTTTCTGGACCAGAATTCTCCAGATTAAACCACTCGTCCAAATTCAGATCTTGACAAGAGAGAAGACGGGAAACAGGAATGGACAGACTTCCCAAATCCTGAACACGGTCATTATCCTTCACCTGAAAGAGATGGAAAAATGGCTTAAGTAACATGAATGTGAACTAGCAAAATTCACATGTGGAAAAAATACTGCAAGCATTCACATAAGAGCCCCGTTTACAGCAGCCTTTAGAGCTGTGGGTTTATAAACAGATCAGACCAGACGAATGTTAGTTCCAGGCAGATGATGTTAGCATACCTGTACGCTGATGTCCTGTTTGCTTGGATCTCTGATGAAGAAAGTGAAAGCGTCCTCCCACTGGGGGTTCACGGTATTCCAGCAAATCTAAGAGGAAGGGAAATGAGTGAGCGAGAAGAGCGAGTCACATGGGACGGATGGTAGGTGTGCATCTTACCCGGCTGTCACGAGTAACATCTTGCACTGAGATTTGAACGATCGGATTGGGATCCTTATTGCCTTTCTTCATCTGAACACAGACACAAATACACTTAAAAACAAACACACCGCAGCAAATGCATTGTAGTTCTTTTATCATTTTGTCACTAATATGATTAGATTTCCTGTTTTAACTGTTTAACTAATTCATAAAACTTTACAGAAATACAGTTAGCAAGCGACTCTATGATATAATATTTTGTAATGTTTTTGAAAGAAGTCTCTTCAAGGCTGCAGTTATTTAATCAAAAAAACAGTAATATTGTAGAATATGATTACAATTTCAAATAACTGTTTTCTAATTGAATATATTTTAAAATGTAATTTATTGCTGTGATGTAAAGCTGAATTTTCAGCATCATTACTCCAGTCTTCAGTGTCACATGATCCTTCAGAAATCATTCTAATATGATTTGCTGCTTAAGAAACATTTATTATAATCAGTGTTAAAAACCGATGAGCTGCTTTGTGTATTTGAGGAAACAGGATTCTTTGCCGAAAAGAACAGAATTAATTTGAAATAGAAATCTTTTCTTACATTGTAATTGGCTTTACTGTCACTTTTGAACAATTGAATGCATCTTTGCTGCATAAAAGTATTAATTTCTTTTATAAATAAATCTTACACCAAACTTTTGAATATTACATCCATCTTATGGTTACATACTCAAAATACTGTACACCTTCATCTGAACATCATGAGAAAAGCGGTATGCCAAATGAGTAGCATGTGTAAATATCCAGTATTCATGAAACACTGTATGTCTTATTTTGATATACTACTATATTCATACTACATGAATGCATATATGATAAACCGCACTTTACTGATGGCCAAGAATTAAGTTTTTTGTCAAATGCAGAACATTTACTGACAGTACATGATTTCAGGTGCAGCTTTTTACTTTTCTCACAAGTAAGTGCATTACTGTAAAACCATTTTTTGCTTGAGAACCGAGGAACGAGTCTAAATTATTATGCGTGATCACCGACAGCATACAGCAGCAAAGCCTAGCTCACAATGAAGCCAGAACATTGATTTGAAATCCTCCAGACCACAGCACTGGAAGCGTGAGTGCTCTGGGATGTTCACTCGACACAAGTGTGTACTTATTTCAAGAGTTTTAAGTATCAGTGTGTTCCTCTCAGCAAACTCTTTTGCCCTTGCACTTCTGGTAAAATATTCTGGATGCGGGAAACGGTGCGAGTGCTTTCACAAAGTGCTCTATCAAGGCCATGAGCTGAATAGGTGAAGATATATAATCTAGAGTTACACTTAATAGTTTCTGTAGACATGGCTGCAGTCCTTATTTTCTAGTTTCAGAATGGGCGTCTGCCAGTCTGCTGCCAAACATAAAAGGGAAATGGCAGGTTGTGGGTAGCCAGAGGTATTCTCACACACACACATCTGGTTTACTATCCATGTGGGGACTCTCCATAGGCGTAATGGTTTTTATACTGTGCAAACACAAGTCCCCATGAGTCTGTGTGTATTCAGGTTTATGTCCCCACCGTGATAGAAAAACATGTACACACACACACACACACACACACATTTGTTTTTCCAATAATGGTGGGGCTTTCCTTTGACTTCTGTTGTTTGTTTTACTGAGCTAATGATGTTTTCTGTATCCTAACTCCACACAGAAACCTTTCTGCATTTTCTGACATTCATCCAGAAATTATTTAGTATGTTTATTAACAGTGTTGGGGGTAATATATTACAAGTAATGCAATCAGATTACTTTTTTCAAGTAACGCATTACTTTTTAATTTACAAGAGAATATCTGAGTTACTTTTTCAAACAAGTAACACAAGTTACTTTTAATTTTTTTCTATTTATTGATTGACAGCTCTCCTGTCCCCATGTTGAGAGAAATCAGAAGATGTTACTGTAGTTCAAAAAAAATTATGATATGCATTAATTCATCACTCACAAAAAAACAAAAAACACAGATTCAGTATTCCTCAAAATGAATAAAAATAATGCAACTCAGAATATGACGCAAACCTGCAATAATTAAATGTTAAACAACACAAATATCCTTTATGTATTTAATCCCATTCTATTAACCAATGTCTTTGCTTCTGACCTTCGATGATCCAGTTCAACCATACTAATAAGCAAAAATGACTCTAGACAAACATTTGGTGTCTTTTTTTTTATTGCTGAAGTGTGTTGAAATTTCTTCTTCTGCATTCTACTGTACAGACGTAAATTTACTTTCCCTTCAGCCTGAAGCTTATTCATTTCATTTTTGGTGTGAAAAGGCTTTTATATTTGCCAAAAACAGAACTTTTTTTATTTTAAAAACAAACAAGCAAGCCCTGTCCAGATTTAAAAAGTAACGCAAAAGTAACGTAACGCATTACTTTCCATAAAAAGTAACTAAGTAACGTAATGAGTTACTTTTTTAGGGAGGAACGCAATATTGTAATGCATTACTTTCAAAAGTAACTTTCCCCAACACTGGCAGTGATACAAGAATTTGCTGATGACACAAACAACAAAATATGGTCCTATTTTTAGTAATATTAACATTTTTATCTTATTTTACAACAAATATACCATCAACTGACTGATGGTAATGACATTTTTGCTAGCTGGCATTAATTTAAGTTTTAACAAAAAAAAAATACAGTGAAATTGGCTGTCATGAATTCAGTAATATTCTCTATAATGCTTGAGGTGCTGGTAATGATCGCCGTCCTGCCTTGACTTGTTGACCTGCTCCCGGGCTGAGATATGGCTAGACGGACTTGAAATGTTTAATCGGTTAATCTTCTATACAAAAGCAGTTTTTTTTAAAAATTCAAAACATTCCAGAATGGCAGCAGCTCATTTCAACACACTTTATGACAGTTCCCATAGCCAATATAAGGGTGTGTGTACAACTCTTCTTGGTGACTTGGTGCGATTAAAACATGTCAGCGTATGAAGGGTGTGGGGTTCAAACGACATGATTGTGTCAATGTTGATGAAAGACATGCCCGTGGACACTGCTGACTAGCGGTTTGCATGTGTACTGCACGTTGACGCGGACAACGACGCAGAAGTATAAATGAAAACTGACGCATAGCCTACGGCGTAAAGGTTACGGTGTAGTTCCGACGCAGAAGTATAAATCAGCCTTTATACTGTCGTTTTACGCGTTGCGTTGCATTGCGCCGCGTAAACATAAAACCATGTCTGCAT